GCCCACCAGCCCAGCCTGCCCCGGCCCGCGGCCCCGGTGCGCCCCGGCCGGGCGTGGATGGAGGGCGCCGCGCGCGCTGCCCGCTGCTCCGTGTGACGCGGGCCCCGCGCCCCGCGCCCACCATGTCCTACCCGCAGGGCTACCTGTACCAAGCGCCCGGCTCGCTGGCGCTCTACTCGTGCCCCGCGTACGGCGCGTCCGCGCTGGCGGCGCCGCGCAGCGAGGAGCTGGCGCGCTCGGCGTCGGGCTCCGCGTTCAGCCCGTACCCTGGCTCGGCGGCCTTCACAGCGCAGGCGGCAACCGGCTTCGGGAGCCCGCTGCAGTACTCGGCCGACGCCGCCGCGGCCGCCGCTGCCGGCTTCCCGTCGTACATGGTAATCGCTTTGGGGTGGGGGCTGGGGAGACCGGGACCGGGGCGTGGGTTGAGCTGGGCGCTGGGAACGCGACGCGGGCGGCGGCTCCAAAGTCACCAGCACCCGCTGCCGCACTAAACAAGGGACCGGACTGACCCGCAGAGCTCCTAGGCTGATTTCCCTTGAGCTCGTGCGAAGTGCTACACTCTCCCGGCGCCTGGGCCACGAGTTATCTCTAATCCGCGCGTGCGGATTGCTGGGGCTGTGGAATCGGTCGGCCCCTCTCCCCGCATGGTTCCAGACCGAGAGCAGCCGCTGTCCAGGCCTCTAGGGCCAATGCCGCAGAGGTTTGGGTTTCTTGGCCAGACTGGTAGTGGCGGGGTCATGGGGGGGGAGGGAGGCGGGAACCGAGCCTCTGGCTGCTGCCCTAGACCCAGGCCAAAGCTCTTTAATCTTGGCTTTTTTTCTGTCTCGCCGATGCGGCTTTCAGGGGAAAGTAATAATGTGTTAACGGGTTTGGGACCCGCTAAGTGCTGCCAGAGTTCGTACTTGGCCTATGGGCTCCAGCTCCAGAGACCCGGGATCTGCCTGAGCATCTCTGAGTCCTGAGAATGGGCCCCGCTTGAGCGGGTCATGGCAGTTTTGGGGGCGTGTGAAGACACTATGTATTCGGGGAGGGGGTCTGCTCTAGGTGGAATTCCCTGGGTAGGAACCAGGCCTTGGGAGAAGGTTACAAACGTCTGGTAGTTAAACGTTAAAGGATGAATTAAAATGCTAATTACTACGTAGTTGAAGAATTGGAACCGCTGACTAGCTTCTGAGTTGCAAATTGAATTTACTCTGCTTTAGAGGGTGAATAGCGGAATGGGGTTCCGAAGTATTTTTTTAAAGCTACATAAAGGAGGGAAGGGAGGGAGGGAGCAGTGCGGGAAACCTCTGATGAAATTTAGATATAAAGAAACTACTTGCAGAAGTGCGGCACTATCCAAATAGGTTTGCTGACATTGTTCGTGCTACTCGGGAAACTATGCTGTTTTAGAAAAAAGTAAGGTGTTAAAACAAAATTCTAGAATCAAATGGCAATAGTTTTGTTTTCCAACAGCTAGACTTGTATTTCTCTGGTTCTCTGGCTGAAGAAAGGTTTCCCACCCAGAGAAGCCTAGCAGGAAAGGCAGTAGGGGGCCGACGGAGGGTCGCCTTGGGGGTGACGCCTGAGGGGCCCATGCACCCTTCACTCACAGGCTGTTGTGGGTTCCAGGGCTCGCCATATGACACGCACACCACTGGAATGACTGGCGCCATCAGCTATCACCCATATGGCAGCGCGGCCTACCCATACCAGCTCAACGACCCCGCATACCGCAAGAACGCCACGCGGGACGCCACTGCTACACTGAAAGCCTGGCTCAACGAACACCGCAAGAACCCATACCCCACCAAAGGAGAGAAGATTATGCTGGCCATCATCACCAAGATGACCCTCACGCAGGTCTCCACCTGGTTCGCCAATGCGCGCCGGCGCCTCAAGAAGGAGAACAAAATGACCTGGGCCCCGAGGAACAAAAGCGAAGACGAGGACGAGGACGAGGGAGATGCTTCCAGAAGCAAGGAGGAGAGTCCAGACAAAGCTCAGGACGGCACAGAAACCTCGGCGGAGGACGAAGGTGAGAGGGGCAGCAGTCGTGCGAAGGCTCTCAGCGAGCTTTCTTCCCAGGCGGGCTGTGGTTGGGGCGGACACTCCGCACCTGTCACGCGGGAGCCTGGGCCTAGAAAATAGATTTGGGCTGGAGAGTCCCCGGGCTCTGTGGAGAGGCTGGGCCGCATTTAATGTTGCTTTGGGGTGAGATGCTGGGTCTTGGGGAGGCTGTTGCTGAATGTTGGGAGGATGGGGGTGCGGGTGCTTCTGCTGGTCCAGCTTTCCGCCCACCGTACTCGGGTCCCTGCAGGGATCAGTCTACACGTCGACTCGCTCACGGACCACTCGTGCTCGGCGGAGTCAGATGGGGAGAAATTGCCCTGCCGCGCCGGGGATCCCTTGTGTGAATCGGGCTCGGAGTGTAAGGACAAGTTTGAGGACCTGGAGGATGAGGACGACGACGAAGACGAGTGCGAGCGGGACCTGGCGCCGCCCAAGCCAGTGACCTCCTCGCCTCTCACCGGCGTGGAGGCGCCCCTGCTGAGCCCGGCTCCAGAAACCGCGCCGCGCGGTGGCAGCGGTGGCAAGACGCCCCTAGGCAGCCGGACGTCGCCTGGAGCGCCGCCGCCCGCCAGCAAGCCCAAGCTGTGGTCGCTGGCCGAGATAGCCACGTCGGACCTCAAGCAACCAAGCTTGGGCCCGGGTTGCGGGCCTCCGGGGCTGCCCGCTGCCGCCGCGCCTGCCTCGTCTGGGGCCCCTCCGGGAGGCTCGCCCTATTCTGCTTCACCGCTGCTGGGCCGCCACCTCTATTACACGTCCCCTTTCTATGGCAACTACACAAACTACGGGAACTTAAACGCAGCGCTGCAAGGCCAGGGCCTTCTGCGGTACAATACCGCGGCCTCCTCACCAGGCGAGACACTGCACGCCGTGCCCAAGGCGACCAGCGACGCGGGCAAGGCGGGCTCCCATTCGCTGGAGTCCCACTACAGGCCTCCGGGCGGCGGCTACGAGCCCAAGAAAGGTAGGCTGCCTGAAGCCCACAGGGAGGGATCCTGGTGAGTCAGAACAAGCAAGAAATCTGGGAAAGGGCGCTGGGAGTGTGAGACCTTTGAACCAACTTAACGTCTTGTAGGACACAGAATTTGGGAGGCCAGCGTGGGGAGGCCGGTTGAAGAGTGAAAGCGAAAGAGGCTAGCCCTCTTTTTTAGGTCTATCCTGCTTTATTTGCTCTTTATTTAATTTACTGTTAATATTATCATCGTAACTATTTTGTTTTGGCAAACTTATTTTGTGTGATCTGTGCTTGTCTCCCTGATGGGTGTAGTCTTTCTTCTGTGGTGTTGGTTAAAAGTGGAGCTTAGTGGGATTCTATCTTCCTTTGGCTCAAGGAAAGCACAGGTTCCCGGGGAACTCTCAGAGGCCTAATTTTCTTACACTACCTCCATTGTTCCTAACTCTACAACCCTGAGACTGGGGCTCAAGGAGAGGAAGAAGGGAAAGGGCATAAGTAAAATGGATCTTAGATTTCCTGGGAGTGTGTGTGAGCTGGTATGGGCTTAGCTGCCAGGGGCCTTAGCCTGTCCTCACTAACTGCCCCTCCCCTGACAGATTCCAGTGAGGGCTGTGCAGTTGTTGGTGCAGGCGTCCAGCCCTACCTATAGGAGGTCCAAGCTCAGCAGTGCAAGTAAGTGGGTTCCCTCTGCAGCCTCCAGCCCCAAGTCCTTCTCCTGTGCAGTGCGGTATGGATTTGTGTGGTTTTGCTGGAGAATAGAGGGTTTCTTCTAGCCTCTTTGCCTTCTGTGTTACAGATTTTGTTTTCTTTTCTGCTCAAGTTCTGCTTTGGAGAATCATTTCTCTAAATGGAACACACATACACCACCCACACACACCCTACCACTGTGTTGTTGGTTGATGATGGTGGTTTAAAAAATTTGGGCATCTCTGTGTGATTCAAAACTGTTCTAGACACATAAAGGACACCTTGTCTGATGAGTGAGTTGTGCAGAAACCTGGGTATTAAAACCTGTAATGGATATTGTTTTCAGAAAAAGATTAAAGAGACACCAGTAGGTCTGGTCTTTCATGGGCCTGCTATTTGGTGTCCAGTATCCACATGGACATAGTGAACTCTGTAGTTCTTCTAGCCCAGAGCTGTTACACAAATTTACAACTAGACAACATTACTAGTTCTAGCCACTGAAGATGGCAAAGAGGCAGAGCCAGTAGACACAAGCTTGCGTGTTGTGATGTGTTGGTGTGGAACTGAAGAATTTGGGATGATTTGGTCTTTTCCTTGGTCCACAGGTAGGTGTCACAATTGCTTTGGAAAAAAAAGTCAGGAGGCCATTCTCCCTTCCCAAGCTCATAAATACACAGATACAAACCCCAGATGTGGAAATCCGGACCACATATTTTGCCACTGTATAAGAGGACGCACACTGCACTGCCAATCCACAGACTCTAAGGACTGGACACACGTTCTTTGGGCATATGAGAACTTGTTGGCATAGTATAGCTTCCCTATGTTTGTGTGACTTTTGAAAACAATCTGTTTTTTCTCAGGATATCTTCATCACTTCATTGCCACGGTATATATTCTATAGGTGTGATAGGACTTGCTGTAAAATTTATTTGTAAAAAAAAAAAATGTACACGGTAGAACTAACGTGATTGAAGAACTTGAGTCCTTCAGAAGTGAAAACAAATTTGATATTTATTTTTATAATGATATAAAGCTTCTAGTAATTTATGCAAGTTGTATTGCAATGAAATCTAAAACTTTTGTAAATAAATCCTGCCTGGTTTTTATTTGAACATTGCTGGTTATACAATCTCTGTTGGTTGTTTAACATGAATTCTCTACTAATTTATATCTAAAACTGTAAATAAAAACAGATGCACCTACAAGAAAATGGTGTTGGGGGCTCATTTTTCCTGGAGACCAGTTTGGGTAGAAGCTCCAGTGGTGGCCCTGGTTCCTGCCCCAAGGTGACCCTAGCTTACCTTTTAAGTGAAGAGCCCAGTGAAATAAATCTCCTTCTTGAGCTTATTTGAAAATTGCAGACCTGAGAGAGAGATTAATGTATAACAGGGAGATACCTATGGTTCTAGTTTATTTACATACAAATGTATTGCGGAAAGAGTAATTCAGGTTTTTGTTCTCTGAATATGCAAATCCCTTCTTAGTGTAAATTTCTAAAACATGGAAAAAAAAATAAAAGGATATGCCACCTCTCTGCATTTTATCTTCTTTTGTGGTGCTGGAGAAGGGTCCTCCCACTGAAACTGGAGAGTCCTCCCACAAGCGATAACTGATGGGGGCGCTTGTTTTCCTCGGCCTGCAGTATCTCCATTGACATAGATCATGCACATTTCTTGAAGAACCCTTTACCTTTTCTTTCTGTTTAGCTCCCACTAACAGGAGGGGGTGGGAAGTAGATCCTTTACTGTGGCACTCTGCTTACCCTTACCCTCAGGGAAAAGAAAAGTTTAAACATCCTCAGACATTGTCTCTTTATTGTCTACTCACCTCCTAATTACAGGACCAGCCTGGAATTTGCAGCCAAATAACCCAGCCCCTTTGATTAGTATCATAAAAGCAACCACTCTGTCACTTCAGCTTTTCTCAAATTATGTAGATACCCATATAATAAAATTTCTGCGAAGAAACGAACAATCATTTGTTTCCTCTGCAAAGATAAATTGAGTGAATATAACTTACGTTTATAAAGCAAGAATAATGGCTCCTTAGATTACCCTTTAATCAATCATACACTTATTTTTCAAGAGGCTCACCTATTTCATCCCATGATTAATAACAGTGCGGCAGGGGAGCGTTATTGGAGCCCAGCGGGGGAGGTCTCTGGTGCTTTGGGCTGCTCTGGAATGGTCAGTTGGGGTTCATTATGGGCTGAGATTGAACGATTTATAAAATCTTGTCTAAACATCTGCCAGCTCCGATAGGCTGACAGGGCTGAGGATGGGAAATTGTAGGCGAGTTGATATTGACAAAAGGATCTCTCTCCAGTGGCTTTTTGTGCCATAGAAATTAGTGGCCTCTTGCTGGGGTCTTGTTAGAAAGGGTATTGGAAAGTCATCTTAGGTACTTGAAGCAAAGCCCCAGCAGGCTGGCCTGGGTAGGAACTAAGTCTCGGTGCCTACAGAGGGGGTAAATGAAGGCCGCTTGGGCTTTAGGGATTGGTCTGAAATGCACGGACACTCAGAGCTCAGACCTAAAGTCAGTTTCTGGTATGAGGTACTTTTTTCTCTCCTCCCTGCCTCCTGGGAAACGGAGATGTTTTGAGCTGATATTGATATATATATATATTGTCTGGAAGATTCCTGGGCTGGGGAGTCAGGGGGTACTTCTGTTGTCTTTTTGTTGTTTGTTGTTTGTTTGTTTGTTTCAGCTTCTCAGGATTTGCAGAGATAACCGGCTCTCCTTCCAGATCTACTTTATGCTGCACTATGGCAGTAACAAACGGCTATTCTCTATTGGAGTCGGCCATGTTCACAAATCAGCAGGAAACTAAAAGGGCAGAGTGACAGTATCTCTGTCACATGTAATGTTGTGACTTGAGTCTTTCGACGATTTTAGGGGAAAGTATGAAAATTAACAGTATCTAACAAACAGAATGCCCAAGATAACTCTAATGAACAGGCGTCATGTAAGGCAGAAGTTTGGCTACAGTGTGACTGGGAAAAATCCCAAGCCTAAAATCTTCTCCCTGCATGTGCCCACAATTAGAAAGCTGGTATAGTGGCCAAAGTAGATGTCGGGAAATTTTTCTTACCTGGACTTACTGGGCTCCTTTTGCATCACAAGGCTTCCAGACCCCCATTCCCTTCCAGAGGACTAGCACGTTTCGTTTCTCGGTGACATCTCCAAGGCCTCAGGAGATTAGCCAAAGCTAATGAAGCCGCTTTGATGTTTATATGCCCAACAAATGATCAGAGATTTCCGTAGCTTATCCACTTCCCTCCCGACCTGAATATCTTACTGGAGAACTTGATTTTTAAATAAGCAAGAGGAACATAAAATTGCAGGTGTGTTTAGGGGGACTTTTTTTTTTTTTTAGAAACGTAAACAGAGAGAGAGAGAGAGAGAGAGAGAGAGAGAGAGAGAGAGAGAGAGAATATGAGAATCCCCATGTAGGGAAGTCACTTCCAAGGAGAAATGAGCCCCCACTGAGCTCAGGCAGGGCAGCCACGCTGTGAACAGAGTGTCTGCATGCCTGGGCGCGCTGCTGACTATTGGGCCCCCGCACTCGCATACCCTGGCCGCTACAGCCAGAAGGGTTTCACAGACCGGGTTTCATTAGAGCTGTTTTATCAGAATTCGCGCTTTAATCTCAGGTGGGCCGGGGGCCGGGGCACTACGGAGAGCACCGGGGGGCTCTTGCCGGGCGGCCGGCTCGGGTGCTGCCTCCTGCGCGCCCGTCAAATGTCAACATTTGTTCCCAATAAAAGAGTTATTGTCTCAGCAGAGCTGCCTAGCAACTGCCTTTGAAACTTGAAAAGAACTTCACTCACCTTTGTCTGAGAGTCAGGAGGGGCGGGGAACAGAGAGTAAGGGGGCAGGAACAACCAGCGGCCTAGCAGGGGTTGGGGTGAGGCCCCCAAGCACCCTCTTGCGGGCCGCGGCAGCGCTCCTTCTGGAGGTGGGAAAAGGTTAGAACTGCGTAGGGAGAGGGGTCTGCAGAGGTGAGTAGACCTGAACGCTGCACAATTCCCGAGTTTCCACCTGGTCCAGACTTGCCGGATGGCACCAAAGCCCCGAGCCTTCTAGGGTCAAGTACAGTGACGCTGGATTAAAATATTTACGAAGAAGGCTAAAGGCAAAGCGTGCCCTCTTGAAACTACTAAACTAGCACCATGAGGGAGTAGTTTCACAGACATTAGTCTTTTTTTTTTTTCCCAAATCACTTCAAACCAATTTAAGGAGTCAGGAAAGCCTTTTTAAAATTTTAACTGCACCGAATTGTTATAAAGTTCACTCCAATTAGCCTAATCATTGTTGCCATTTAAAATTTTTAGTTAACCAGTCCATCAAGATCTGAAGAAAATAGTCACTTAGATCCCCAAATTAAAACTATAGATATATTGAATATATTTTAAAATAGCTGTTATGAAAAATAGCATTTCAGGAATGTCAACCCAAGTGGATCTTGGAAACAACACACAGCCGTCTGCCCCATATGAATGTTATGTTAACGTCATTTAAATTTCCACAGATCCCAAGGGGGACATGGCCCTTTGATGTAGTCTCAAACCTTTATGCAAGTGACAAATCCCTACCAATATCTTAAAGGCTTATTTTAAGGAGAATTAATCTATGACAATATAATTTCCCTCTTCTTATTGGTCATTATGAAAATGTTTCCAGCCTACTGGCTACCACAGACCTCAGCCACTGCTAAGTGAAGGAGAAAACCCAGCTAACCCCAACTTGTAAGGGTTAAATGACACCATTTGTAGGTTTACTTTGTGCCTTCACCAGTACTTTTTGCAGTCTCTCTGAACAGCTCTGTCTCCTCCAAACTCCCAGCAGAGAGCTGGCTCTCAGTACCAGGAGCGGGCAGAGTGCTGTCTTTTCTAAGAAAAATGAAGACATTATTTGGGAAGACAATACTGATAATACTGCTAAAACAGTTATGAAACACCTTGTCTGTTCTCTTGGAATCCCAGGTAGAAGGAGGAGGAAGAATGCTCGTTTGTCTAAATCTGGCCCCGAGCTTATAAGGAAAGGGCTTTCAAAAGGTGCCCCAACGTAATTTTGTTCTATTTGGAGCTGAAAAGAAGTTAAGTCTAATATTCTTCTAGGATTGACTGTTGGATCCAGGCAGCATGTACACTCGGAGTGGATCTTCATAGGACATGCCCAGGGGAGGAAGCCCAGCTACACTAGCAAGCATATTTTATGAGGAGATAAATTGACAATTTATTGTGTGTAACTCCTGATCAATTATTAATCGTTAGTGTCAACAACAGGGTTATAATTACCTTCGGTTATTTTAAAAAATATTTGCTTTTTCGTGGCTCTGATCTAGTGATTAGTTAATGCTCTCCCGTAATGAGTTCCAGGAAGCACTGATCAGACCCTCATCCTCCCCTCCTCCCCTTCTCTTCCCTCCTCCTCTCCCCTCCTTTTTGGTGACCTTTAAAAGGAAACACATTCACTCTCTTGTTTCTCAGAAATTTACTCCTTGCTTCGGTTCTTTCCAGGGAGCACCTTTTATTTTTCTGCCATAAATAATGATTCTGAAGGAAAAGGGGAAAATGACAGACAAATAAGGCGCAGCTGGAATGAATAAGGCCGATCAAAGGATGTGGGGCTGGGCTGCCAAGGCCGCGCAGGTCTGAGCGCCTAGCATGCCCGCCGCCCTGGTCTCAGCCCTACAAGATCAAGGGCAGGGACTGCATTC